GAAGCAGGCTCCCTGCTAACCAGAGAGCCCGATGCGGGGCTCGATCCCAGGACCCTGGGATCGTGACCTGAGCCGAAGGCAGAGGCTTTAACCCACTGAGCCACCCAGGCGCCCCCCAGCATATTTTTCATTACATATATTGTAATTTCATTTTTAGAAGATTGAATTGAGTGTTCTTTGTGTCCATGTCTCTAACTTTTTGAACATATGTAATAGAATTCTTATAACTTAGTTAATATCTTTGCTAATTCTATTATCTGTATTGGTTTTGGGTCAATTTTGGCCGATTGTTTGCTATTCATTATAGGTGAATTTTCTTACTTTACATGTCTGGTAATCTTTGATTGGATGCCAGACATTATGGATTTTATCTGTTGGGTGCTGAATACTTTTATACTCCTAATAATATTCTTGAGTTTTATTGTGGGAGATAGTTAAATTACTGGAAATTTTGGATCTTGCCTTTAAGATTTGTTTGGCTGGACCAGAGGCACATTCATTCTAATGCAGGGTTTCTCAATATCAACACTATAACATTTTGGATCAGTTTATTTTTTGTAGTGAAGGGCTATATTGTGCTTTGTAAAATGTTTAACAACATCCCTAGCCTTTACCTTTTAGGTCCCCCACCCCCAGTCATGACAACCAAAAATGTTTCCAGAAATTGCCAAATGTGGGGAAGAGTTGCTAATTGCTCCCAGTTGAATAACTACTGCTTTAGGATTAGTTTTGTCTCAATACTATGGCAAGATCTTCGGTTGCTTTACCCAATGCCCCATGGATTGTGAGTTTTTTGTGGTTTTTGTTTTTGTTTTTGGTCTGGCTGTTTGGGGTAGGCACTTTTACTGGTCTTGTGTATATACTGTATGTTGTTCCTCCTAATCATTCTGGGTGGTTCTTTTTTCTGTACTGTATTGTTTCCTCATGTATATGTGATGATCAGTATTCAGCTACATGTTTAAGGGCAAGTCTGCAGATCTCCGGGGTCTGTTTTAGTCTTTTTGGGTTACTATAACAAAATGACTGTAGACTGAGTGTCTTAAACAAAACACAGTTCTGGAGGTTGAGGAGTCCAGGATCAAAGCCCAGAAGATTTGGTGTCTGGTGAGGGCCCGCCTCCTGTTTCATAATCAGTCATCTTCTAGCTTTGTCTGTAGATGATGGAAGGGGTGATGAACTCTCTGAGATATCTCTTGTAAGGGAACTAATCCCATTTATGGGGGTTCTGCCTCATGAACTAATCATCTCCTAATTGTGGACTAGGATTTCAATATATGAATTTTGGGGAGACACAGTCAGTCCATAACAGGTTCTCTCTGTGCACCTTTCTCCTCTCCAGTATTCTGTTTCATGAACACTAGCCACCTGGATCTACCCAGATTGTCAGCTCCATCTCCTCAGCTCAGCAAGTCTGCCAGGCCTCACCCATTTGGGTCCTGTGCCACACATCACTTGGAAACTCTCAAGGCAGTAAGCTGGGGCAGTAGGGCTCACTTTGTTTCGCATCTCTCAGGGATCTTTTTTGTCTGATGCCCAGTGTCTTGAAGCTAGATTCCCACCCCCTCCATATATTATGTCTATTATTTGGTTGTTTGAGGTAGGAGAGTAAATTGGTCCCTCTTATTTTATCTTGGTCAGAAACAGAGTCTCTTTAACTGATAATTTATTCATATTAATTATTGATTAAAGTTGAAAGTGTTCTGGGGTGCCTGGGTGGCTCAGTCGGTTAAGCATCTCGCTCTTGATTTTGGCTCAGGTCATAATCTCAGGGTCTTGAGATAGAGTCCTGCATCAGGCTCTATGCTGGGCCTGGCACTTGCTTGGGATTCTCTCTTTCCCTCTCCCTCTGCCCCTCCCCCTCAAAAACAAAAAAGCTGAAAATGGTCTTAAAAACTTATTAACCTAATTTCTTCATTTTTTGGATTTGTATGAAACTTACAGCTGCCATATGTTTGTTCAAAGTCTACTGTTTCGTATAGTTTCTATGGCACAACATAAATATTAAATTGGCCCTAAAGTCTTTTATCATCTTCTTAATATACCTCTTTAGAGCAGGTTTCACAGTGTTAGCTAAATATGGGTCTCTAACTATGTGTAGTAGCATACAATTAAAGGACATGTCCTGACTTGATGAAGCACATTAATGGAGTGTGTCATGTTTTTAGGGCATTGCCACAGCAGGCTCAAAGACTTCCAGAAGGCTTCCTTGTGTAACTCATATTTTCTAACAGCTAAAACACCAGGTTCAAAGCCTATTAGCCTGATTGAGGGTATAGAGAACTGGTGATATAAGACGGGAAAAAAAGCTATGAGAGAGATCATTTTGAGCAATGTATGAGACAAAACCATACTGAAGGATCATGCTATAAGGATGGGAGTGACTTGGAACCCATTGGTGGTAAGCTGTTTAAGAAAGGAGAAAGCCAGCAGAATAGAAAATAAAATGACAGAAGAAATCTGGCCTTTTTGTGTGTGGGATGAGCTTCCCAAATGTGCTACATTGTAACTGCTACAGAGTTTGTAGCATGTGCTTGTTGGATATTCAAAGATGAAGTAATTTATTCAGAGCATATCTTGGAAAAAAGATGCATGTAGTGGGTGGGATGAAACCATCTGGGTATATATATGAACTAAAATAGCAAAATGATATTTTAATGGAATTTTATATATATATGTAATAACGTATACTAAATGATATACATTAATGTGTATAAAACTCAGTGTTAAACTGCATAAAATGTGTGATTCCTTGGCCTTAGGGATGGTGTTGTAGCTAAAAAGAGCTGAGTAAGAGAGAGTTCTTATAGCTCTACAGTATATAAGAATTAGCCTTTTAAAACGTACAGGTACTTACAGGTGGATGTGCTGTTAATTTCCTAAAACTGAAAAGCCGTTGTGGATTGATAATATGAAAAACTCTGTTTGGAAACAAAATATGATTTAAGGCTTCCAAAAACTAGGATATTGTTTTTTAGGAATTAAGGAATATTTAGTGAGTATTTCTTGCTGGCTGAATATTTCTGATGGTGTAAGTGGTGCTCATGTAGTTGAGTAACTTCCTTTTTTAATTGATTATGAGTCTTCATGGCAAGAGTTTGTGTGGATAGGGGAAGAATAGGATAGTAGCAGTTTTTACTTTTCTCATCATAAATAAGCATAGGAGGTTTTTCATAGCCAAATATGCATGTTATAAGGAAATGATAAACACCAAAATCAAGAATTATTTCATCTGGGAAGGGAATGATACCAGAGAGGGACATTCACTTGTATCGATGTTTTGTCTTTGGCTTTTTATTTTTATTTTTTTTTAAAGATTTTATTTATTTATTTGACAGAGAGAGATCACAAGCAGGCAGAGAGAGAGGAGGAAGCAGGCTCCCTGCTGAGCAGAGAGCCCGATGCGGGGCTCGATCCCAGGACTCTGAGATCATGACCTGAGCCGAAGGCAGCGGCTTAACCCACTGAGCCACCCAGGCGCCCCTGTCTTTGGCTTTTTAAAACAAACTTTTAAAATATAGTTTAACATGGGGCACCTGGTGGCTCAGTGGGTTAAAGCCTCTGCCTTTGACTGAGGTCATGATCCCAGGGTTCTGGGATCGAGCCCCACGTCGGGCTCTCAGGCTCTCTGCTCGGCAGGGAGCCTGCTTCCTCCTCTCTCTCTGCCTGCCTCTCTGCCTACTTGTGATCTCAGTCTGGCAAATAAATAAATAAAATCTTTAAAAAAAAAATATATATATATATATAGTTTAACATACATAGAGAAAAGTGTAGACCATAAGTATACAGCTTCTTGAATTTTTACAAAGTGAACATACCTGTATACTGATACCCAGATTAAGAAACAGAGCATCTGTTTAATTGGAATTATTGGAATTATTTTATATTTTTTCAAGCGGGGTAGTGGGCACATGGGTATTTCTTGCATCATTCTTTGCTGCTGTTGTTGTTGTTTTGCTTTGAAGTTTGCCTACTGTGTTTTTTAAAGAATCATTTCAGAAGGAAAGAGGATCTTTAGAAATCTGGGAAATGTCAGAAAACCCACATGCTTTAGTAATTGAGAAAAGTACTTTAGGGAAATAGGTTTTTTTTTTAATGTAGGCCTTTGTCTCCTGTGTATCTTATAAACCTTACACAGATCCAAGTTACTGGAAGTTTTAAAATGGAAAAAGAATATAAACGGAACTGTATGTATCAAGGTAGTAAAAATTATTAGTACTTTTTGAAACAGTACATTATTGGCCTTTTATAAGCCAACATAAAGTTTGGGTCTTCAAATTTGTGAGTACATCAAAATGACGGTTTTCTTTTCAAAATTTTGTCACTGAAATCTCGGTGGTAGTTTAAGAAGGAAATTGCTTAATCAGTTCTATAATGGTATATTCAAGGGGTAGATAGAAGGGACTGAGCTATTAAGATACTTAAAGATATTTATATCTCGTCTACAGGCTTTATATCAGTTGTAGAAATTGTTATTTGTATAGTGGATAGAAATATGTTTAAGGAGTTTCCTAAAACTAGTTATCTATCTCCCTTTGTATTTTATTTTTGTTTTTGTTTTCTCATTTTGGAGAGGTGGGAGATACTTAATCAAACATGAAGATTTCTGAAATTTGTTTATTTTTATGTATTACATATCTTTCTGTATCTCATTTTATGAAAAGCATTAATATAGGATTTTTCTCAATTCTCAACAGTAGGCTTTTTCTAATTAAGTTATGGTTGCTATGGTATGGAAAGGCCATTTGTAAAGTAACTTTTTGTAAAAATCTTTAGTCATTCGCCTTCCTTCTGCTGTGGGTTTATATGCATAAAATTATTAGAATGTTAATCTACTGAAAACCAATCACTGAGTAATTGTCATTCCTTTTACTCTCTTCTAGAAGTTAATAGATCAATGTAAATAAATTATTGTTTCTGGTATGTTTGCATGTTTTTGGTCTTAATGGAGTTGTTAGGACACACTGAAGATTTCGTTTTGTTTTCCTATTTTCCCTGGACAGACAGTGGAGGAGGAAATGGCTGTTCCTAATCACCTTTGCATTCGTCGCTGGACAACCAAGCATGTAGCTGTTTGGCTGAAGGATGAAGGCTTTTTTGAATATGTGGACATTTTATGTAATAAGCATCGACTTGATGGAATCACATTATTAACATTGACTGAATACGATCTCCGGTCTCCTCCTCTGGAGATCAAAATCTTAGGGGACATTAAAAGGTTAATGCTTTCAGTCCGAAAATTGCAGAAAATACATATTGATGTTTTAGAAGAAATGGGATACAACAGTGACAGTCCCATGGGTTCCATGACACCTTTCATTAGTGCTCTTCAGAGCGCAGAGTGGCTCTGTAATGGGGAGCCTTCACATGACTGTGATGGACCCATCACTGATTTGAATTCTGATCAGTACCAATACATGAATGGTAAAAACAAACATTCTATTCGAAGATTGGACCCAGAGTACTGGAAGACCATATTGAGTTGTATATATGTTTTTATAGTATTTGGGTTTACATCTTTCATTATGGTTATAGTCCACGAGCGAGTGCCTGATATGCAGACCTACCCACCACTCCCAGATATCTTCTTAGACAGGTAAGTTTTAATTCTAGTTGCCAAGTTTGTAGAAAGTTGCTATAACACAGTAATAATAATGTATTTATGATCTTTATGTTTTTTATTATTATTTTGGTTGATGCACACTTTGTTTGCTTTATCTGCAGATATATATGCAGATATACTTTGAAATTGCCTTTTTCTCCTGGAGTAAATTTAGACATTAAGCCTGTGTCAGTGGGAAAGGTCACTGCCCTTTTTTTTTTTTTTTTTTTTTTTTTTTTTGTAGTTATATCATAGCTTGTTGGGCACTTGAGATTGTAAAAGGGTTTTGTAGAATGTTGTCTGTAATAAATGAAATTTGGTTACTTTTTTTTTATGATGAACAGGGTTCAGCTTTTCCAAAAGTACGGGGAGGACTCCTGTATTACCACATAAATTGGAATTATTACAAATAGTACAAACTGATTCATTGATAATATCTTATTTTTATGAAATGCTGAGTGCATAATAAATATAGTATATGCATATGAAAAATAAGACTAGAACAAATTTCAAAACTGTTAGCTTTTATATTTGTGATCTTTTTAAAGCTTTTATAGTTTGTAGAGCTTTCTTGTTTGTTTTTATAAACTGTTTTTACCCTTCTGAAAGTGCCTTGGAGTATATGTTTTTTAAAATGAAATGAATCAGTGTATCCATATTACAATGTCAGAATGACATACATACCACATTTTGTTCCTCTCAAACCCTGACTAAAACTATAGTAAAGAGGTTTTTGTTTGTTTAAGTGGAAAGCCTACAAAGATAGGGCAGATAAGAGAGGAAAAAGCAGTCATACATTTTTGGAAGTTTGAAAATAGATGTTTGAGTGGCAACTAACAGATCTAAAATAACTTAATTCTAAAACAGCAGTTAGGAAAACAGAACCAACCCAGTCTGTGTTGCAGATTTCTCAAAGTTCTGGATATTGCAGGTAAAAGGGTGGTGCTAAATACGAAGAATCTAGTGAAACTGTTTAAGAAGCTGTTAGATCCCTGTATCTCCTCCTCTATTCCGTACAGTTTTCCCAACTAAAAACGAAAGAACCTAAGGAAGTAAGGAAGAAAGCATGTGGATATCTGGGGAAAGGGTATTCTAGGCAGAGGAAACAAGGTGCAAAAAATTTTGAATTGGTAGTATCCTTAGCATGTTCAAGAAACAGCAAGTGAGAGATGGAGAGAACTGTTGGAGATGAAGTCTGAGAGGAGACAGGAATCTAGATTGTATAGTGACTTGTAGACTGTTTTATGGACTTTAGCTTTCATTCTGAATGAAAAGGGAAGCCATGAGAAAGTATTTAGGAGAAGAGTACAGTGATCTAACTTCCCATTTTAAAAGGTACCTGTAGGGGCGCCTGGGTGGCTCAGTCGTTAGGCGTCTGCCTTCAGCTCGGGTCATGATCCCAGGGTCCTGGGATCAAGCCCCGAATTGGGCTCCCTGCTCTGCAGGAAGCCTGCTTTTCCCTCTCCCACTCCCCCTGCTTGTGTTCCTTCTCCGCTGTGTATCTCTATGTTAAATAAATAAATAAAATCTTTAAAAAAAAAAATAAAAGGTAACTATAGTTGTTGTTTTGAGAATAGCCTGGGTGTGGGTATGGGAAAGCAGGGATTAAATTAATTGAATTCATCTAGACAGAAATGAGGTGAATTGGATGAGAATAATAGTGGGAGAGATGGTGTGAAAGAGTCAAGTTCTATTCATATATTTAGAAAGCACCGTGACAAGATTTGCTGATGGATTTGTATGTAAAGTGTAAGAAAAAGAAAAAAGTCAAGGATTACTCTTGAGATTTTTGACTTGAGCATCTGGGTTGGAGTTGCCCTTTACAGAAATGGGAAGACTATGGAAGAAGCTGAGTTGGAGAGAAAAAATAAGGATTTGGTTTTGGACATGTCAAATTTGAGATGTCTTTTACACAAGATCAGATGTCACATAAGAGACAGAAAGATGAGCTGGAGTTCAGAGAGATACAGGCTGAAATTTGGAAGTTGCCATAATAGGTAAAGCCATGATGTGAGATAAAGTGTTCTAGGGAATGAGTTTGGAAGAGGAAAGAAGATTAAAGATGGAGCCCAAGAACAGTGTAATGGAAGTCTTAGAAGTAAGGCAAAACCAGCAAAGACAACTGAAAATGTTAGGGCAGAAAGAAAGTAGTATTCTGGAAGCAAACTTAAAAAAAAAAAAAGTAAGAGGGCAGGAATAATTAACTGTGTCAAGTTCTGCTGACGGATCAAGTAAAGTGGATAATTGATGACTGGATTTAGCAAAGTGTTGGTCATCTGTGACCTTTACAAGAGTCAGTAAGAACAAAAGCTAATTGTTAGGATTCAGAAGAGAATAGGAGACTTTCTGGAACTTAGCTAAAGATATATATCCACAAATATGAAACAACATATGTACAAATTTTTTCATGTGACATTATTTGTAGTAATTGTAAAGATTAGAAAATTAAATGCTTATCCATGGAAAACTGATTGAATATACTATATTGAGAGTCTATATAGCAGAGTACTATTTAATCAAGAGTGAGGAAGATTTCTAAGAACTGATACGAACTGGTTTTAAGTGTGGGGCAAGGAAAGTATAAAATGAGTAAAACAGCTCTTGTTCCATAAACCATGGGAGTGCATAAAACCAATGAAAGCATGTCAAAAGAGTGTATGAGTCAGCTTGTAGGGGCTTGCACTGAGCAAACTGGGACAATTGGAACATCAAAAACATAATTATGGTAATGGATTCTAATATAGTGAGTAAGAGAGTCTGTGAATCATAGTGATAAAAAATGGTGGGGTGAGAGGGGATATTCTTCAAGAATAATATGAATAAACTTAGATGGACTATTTTGCAATATCCAACCTATTAATTGATTCAGGCAAGTCATCAGTTGATGCTAAAATCATTAGGTGAAAGGTCAAGGATGTTCACATAATCTGAATATATCTCACATATTATTTGATTATAGGGAGAGTAAGGTACCTTGATGATGGCATGATCTGACATGCATTGTTTTAATCAAAGAACAAATGCAGCCTTGCTGTGGGACAGAGTGACATTATGTGCATTGGATGTGATGTTCATCATCTATAATCTTGCCCCTCCCAAAATATAACCTGAATCTAATCATGAGGAAATTTTCAGACAAATCCAGAACATGGAATAGTTCTGAGGCTGAGGCTCTATATAGACTATATAACCAAGGCATAGTGGGAGAAAGGAGGAAGACTGGCCTGGAAGAAAAATGAGGATCTTATTTTTAAAGTTTACAGTTCAGTGGTTTTTAGTATATTTACAATCGTGCAACCATCACCACTAATTCCAGGACATTTTCATCACCCCAGAGAGAAATCCCTGTCCATTATCAGTCCCATTCCATTCCCTCCTCTCTCCATTCCCTGGCAACCACTAATCTATTTTCTGTATCTGTCGATTTTTCTGTTCTGGACATTTCATGTAACTGGAATTATAAAAGAAAAGGTGGCCTTTTCTTGTGATTGGCTTTTTTGTTTTGTTTTTTAAACTTTTTTTTTAAGATTTTATTTATTTATTTGACAGAGAGAGATCACAAATAGGCAGAGAGTGAAGAGAAAGCCGGCTCCCTGCCAAGCAGAGAGCCTGATGCGGGGCTCAATCCCAGGACCCTGAGATCATGACCTGAGCTGAAGGCAGAGGCTTAACCCACTGAGCCACCTAGGTGGCCCTGATTGGCTTCTTTGATTTAGCATAATGTCTTTAAGATTCATCCATACAGTAGTATGTATCAGTACTTCATTCCTCTTTATTACAGAATAATACTCCATTGTGTAGATATACTACATTTGTTTATCTGTTCATCAGTTGATGAATGGTTGTCATTTTTTGGTTACTATGAATAATGTTGCTTATTAACATGTATGTACAAAATTTTGTTTAGACCTATATGTGATTTTCAGTTTGCAATGGGGATTTGAAGCCAAATTTTGCCTTTTTGTAGTGCCTCCCACTACAAATCTTTATGCTCTTAAGCATGTAAGCTTTATTCTTAGGAGAATGGTAGCAGGTAGTGTCAGTGTTCTTCCTTATGTACTTTCAGATCTCTTTTTCATTTTCTTGCACACGGATACTCCCAACATCCAGCAAATGTGTCTCTGTTGAAGAGCTGCTTCTGAGCTCTTGAACACGTTTTATATGCTTGGAAAGAGAGGCAAACATGCTTAGGACTTTATATCCCACCAGCAACAGCCCTTAGCCAATGACTGATAAGATTGGGTATACATATTTTGTTTCTCTTCACTCTAATTGGAACAACTTTTAGGTCAGACCTATACTGTCTTTCAAATTCCACACAGGATTGAGCCATATTTAACCCTTGCTGTAGTTACTCCACAAGGCTTTGTTTAATGTCACCCTTGCCTTACTTACTTGCCTTCCTGATCTCATTTCCTCACTACACTAAGGTTTCTCTTGAGAACACACCTATTCACTTTCACACTGATCTTTGTTTCAGAGTCTGCATCTAAAGCTTATGTCAACAATCCCTAGAACTTCAGCACATTATAAATAGAAATTTAGAAGGAGAAAGGGATGCCTCTATAGGCAGGTCCACTTAACAACAGAGAGAGAGGTTAGTTGATAGCCATAATAATAACAAGGGAAGAACCAGAAGCACTATAAAAAGCAAACATAACTAAAGGAAAAACTACTCTAGTCTGGAGCTTAACCTTCGTTCCTCAGTAGTCCCTGAAGTCATTCCCATGTTCAGTGCAATAATCAGTGTTCACAATCATGACTAAATTACCAAAGAAAAGTTAGATTTTTATCCAGAAAAAAGAGGCATATCCATGTGTAATGCATTTTAGAAAACTTTGCATCAAAATAAATATGATATATTGAATAAACATTTTCTTACAACACTTCACTAAAATGACAGTAAAAGGAGATAAGGGGGAACCCTACCATCCCATGAAGGCAAAAACAGTGATAATGCTGAAAGTTTGGAAAGTAGAACGCTGAGTCCCTATTGTAAAATTGGGAATGGAAACTAGCAGTGTCCAAGAGGTGAGTTTATTTGTATTTCAGAGCTCCAGAAAAACTCTCAAAACAGGTGGCACCAGGCATCTTTCATAACCACATACAGATAAATATGGGAGAATTGGTTGAAAAGCAACTTACAAAGCTTTTAGACCTCTATTCCAACAGAAGATAGATGGAATATTCTCCAGACCAGTTAAATGTGAGGGACTCTGGGATACCATGCCCAGATGGTGTTTTCAGTATGTTTTCAAGGTGGTTACTATAAATTTACATACTGATCACTGAGACTTCTAGCTCCCTTCCTTAAGTAGCCCGACTTCCCATCCCTACTCCCACCCGGAGCCAGTTCTCTAAGCAGAAAACAGATTTCTCTCCTTAGAAAACCTGCACAAGAGAGGAGGACTCTAGATATTGTGGTAGGGGAGATATCTCTATCTCCTCAACCAGACCTCTGTTCTATCACTCTGCAGTGAAACCCACAACATGACAAGCCCAGTCTGTGCTTACAGAGCATCAAATTATTATTTTTTTTTAGTACTTCACTGTCAAGTATGAATGGTCAGTCAAGAATGACCAGACATTTAAGGAAAACAGAACAATGCAAACAGAAAAAAGCAAAGTAGGAAATACAAAATAGGGAACAGAAGAACACTTCAAAAAAAAAAATAATAAGCATGTTCTCACAGATAAGAAATGTTGCATTTTACGAGACAATAACAGTAGGCTATAAAAAAAAAATTCAGAGGAGGGGTGCCTGGGTGGCTCAGTGGGTTAAGGCCTCTGCCTTCGGCTCAGGTCATGATCTCAGGGTCCTGGGATTGAGCCCCACATTGGGCTCTCTGCTCAGCAGGGAGCCTGCTTCCCTCTCTCTCTCTCTGCCTGCCTCTCTGCCTACTTGTGATCTCTCTCTCTGTGTCAAATAAATAAAATCTTTAAAAAAAATTTTTCAGAGGAAAGAAAAGCTTTTGGAAAATAAAAAATGAAAGTAGAAATTTAAAATCCAGCAGACTAGTTGGAACACAGATTTGAAGAAATTGCCCAGTATGTAGAACAAATGAAAAGTAGTGGAGAGGTCAGTCAGTGGAGCATGCGACTCTTGATCTTGGAGTTGTGGGTTTGAGGCCCCCCATTGGGCATAGAGATTATTTTAAAAAAAAAAAAAAAAGTTAAGATCATCCAGTTGACCCAATAGCAGACAAAAACAGTAAACAAAAAGCATAGAGAAAAAGGGAAGATACTATTTAGGATGTAAGGAAATTTCCCAAATTCAAAGGATGTGGCTTTCCAGATTGAAAGGGCCCACTGAGCACTCAGTACAAGACATGGAGAATTTCAAAATACTGGATTTAGGCTGAAGATCCTAAAATCTTCTTAAGAGACAGATCAAGTAACATACAAAGATTAGAAATCCAGATAGCATCAAACTTCTTTGCAAGAGTGGAAGCTAGAAAACGAGAGCAGTTATCTTTAATTTTCTAAGAGAAAATAAGGTCTAACGTAGAATTCTCTGTCCAGGCAAACTACCAGTTAGTTATAAGGCTAGAACCAAGGAAATTTTTAAGTTTGTAAGTCTTTAAATATTGCAAACTTTCCAACCCCACATCTAACTAAAATTGCTAAAATGAGAAAAAATGTATAATACCTGATGAGAATTTAGAGCACCTCCTACTCTTTATATATTGCTGGTAGGGATGTAGAATGACAGAACTGCTTTTAAAACTGTTTGACAGTTTCTTAAAAAGCTAAACATACCCTTAACATAGGACAAAACAGTTTCACTGCTAAGTGTTTGCCTAAGAGAAATGAAAACGTATGTTCATACAAAGATGTATAGTGGTCTTTATTCAAAACCACCCAAAACGGGATATATCCAAATATCCATCAGATACCCAAAATATACATCCGCCAGTGAATGGATAAAGAAATCATAGATAAAGAGTGGATAAAGACTTACACATGAAATAACATGGGTAAATCTGAAATATATTATGATAAGTGAAAATAGCCAGATACAAAAGGTATGTAGATAAATACTGTGTGATTCTATTTATATGCCATTCTGGGAAAGGTAAACCTATATAGGACAGAAATCAGTTGAGTGGTTGCCCCACAGCTAGAAATGAGAGAGGGGATTGATTATAAAGGGGCACAGGGGAGCTTTTTGGAGTGATGAAAATATTATATATCTTTATTGTGGTGGCGGTTATATGACTGAATGTCAAAACTCATTGAACTGTACACCCGACAGAGATGATTCTCTTCTGGTTGTTAATTAAGCCTCATTAAAATTAACATTAAAAACAAGTTAAGGGGGTGCCTGTGTGGCTCGGTCATTTGAGCATCCCGACTGCTGGCTTTTGCTTATGTCATGATCTCAGGGTTGTGAGGGAACACTGCATGAGGCTCTAAACTGGGTGCAGAGCCTCCTTAAGATTCTCTCTCTGCCCACCCCTTAAAAACAACAACAACAACCAAGTTTATCCTTTGCCTGTGTTTCTTAGAAAATGACTGGAGGAAACACATCATCAAGACTAAGGAGTAAATTGAAAAAGAGGAGAACATGGATTCAGGAGCCAAAGAATCTAATACAGAAAAGGTGAATTTCCAAGATGAAGGTCAAGTTTTATTTCAAAAAAGAGCCATACAGGAGGATTAGAAAATGCAACCATACTAAATTGGGGGGGGAGGGAGGAGAGGAGCTCTAGAAGAAATTTCCCCAAAAGAAAAAATTGAATTTGATAGAATAGTTTGAAGATGAATGGTGATAGGCATACAAGAAACAGAGCAAAAAAAAAAAAAAAAAAGTTGTATTTTAGCTCTAGAGAGTTCTAAGAATTTCTGCTATAAGAAAGGGATTATTCGGGGCGCCTGGGTGGCTCAGTGGGTTAAGCCTCTGCCTTCGGCTCAGGTCATGATCCCAGTGTCCTGGGATCGAGCCCCACATAGGGCTCTCTGCTCGGCGGGGAGCCTGCTTCCTCCTCTCTCCTCTCTGCCTGCCTGCCTCTCTGCCTGCTTGTGATCTCTGTCAAATAAATAAAATCTTTTTTTTTTAAATAAATAAATAAATAAATAAAAGAAAGGGATTATTCTCTACTGACTCAGCTGTAAATGATATTTACAAACTTACGTTAAGTAAAAGCCAAAAAAAATTTTTTTAAAAGATTTGTATTTATTTTATTTGACAGAGATCACAAGTAGGCAGAGGCAGGCAGAGAGAGGGGAAGGGAAGCAGGCTCCCTGCTGAGCAGAGAGCCCGATGTGGGGCTCCATCCCAGGACCCTGGGATCACGACCTGAGCTGAAGGCAGAGGCTTTAACCCACTGAGCCACCTGGGTGTCCCGCAAAATTTATTTTTAAAAAAATTGTGGAACAATACCGAGAATAGGGAAGAGAAAATGGGAGTGGGTGGTAGGAGGGGGGCTAACTAAAATATACAATGCTAAATAAGACACGAGAGTGAAAGTGATTACCTCTGGGGAGTAAGAATTAGGTAGGGGGTGGGACAGAAAACTTAATCTCATCCTAAACATTGTAAAACTGTTTTACATACACACACACACACACACACGCGCGCGCGCGCACGCACGCACATATTTTTGGACATGCATGTATATGTATAGGTACAAATATGGTTTTTTAAAATGTTCATTTTAAATGTTTATATAATTAAAAGTCACTTAAAGGAATCTTTCTTTTAAAGATGTATTTTTTTGAGGGGGGAGGAGCAGAGGGAGAAAGAGAGAGAAAATCTCAAGCAAAGTCCATGTTAAGCACAGAGCCCGATACCATGACCATGACCATGACCATGACCTGAGTTGAAACCAAGAGTCAGATGCTCAACTGACTGAGCCACCAAGGCACCTCAGGAATCTTTCTTTTATCTGAAAATGTCTGATGTATGAAATAACCCATTCCCCAGTAATGCCAGATAAATAAGGCCATAATAGATTAAAAATACAGTCTTTTTTCTGAGGTAACAAATAAAAGGTAAGTCCCTGACTAAAGATGATTGACTCTCTTCACTTACTCTGAAAAAGGTTTGCAGTAGACTATTAATATCTTTCATTCAGATTTCATGTTTTCTTTTTAACAAATACCTTTATTTTCTTATAAAATGAACACATTATTGTATAAGAATTCTTAGTGGAAATGTACAAAGAATAAAAATAAGACAATAATCCTACCAGATGACCTGTTTGCACTAACTCATTTTCACATTTACCCTATTCCTTCCTGTGTTGTCTTTTTCTCCTCCTCCTCCTCTTTTTATGTATGTATTTATTTATTAAGATTTTATTTCTAAGTAATCTCTATACCCAGTCTGGGGCTAAGACTTAAAACCCTGAGATCAAGAGTCACATGTTCCACTGACTGAGCCTGCCAGGTGCCCTCTCTCTTTTTAAATTTAGAAATGTGACATATACTTCACTAATGAATAATCACGGGAGCTGTGGATTTGGTGAAGAAAGAGAAATCAGTTGAAAAGAGAGAAGAAAACAGGGATATAAAACAAAGGAGGGCACAGAGAAATAAAGGAGTAAAACCAAACAAAAACTCTGTTGCCTCTAAAACAAAACCAAATTTGTTATAAGAAAAAAAAAAAAAGAGTCAAGTTCAAGCCCTGATTCTTCAGTTAGCACATCATGCATGAAGTGAAACTTTTCCCATTGATGTTGTGGACAATTCTGTATCCAGGTCTACCATGCTACAGAGAAGAAGAAAAGGGTTTTTAACCTCTTCACAGAGAACCATTAATTGGGAATCACAGACAGCAAAGAGGTTTTGGTAAATGGAATACTTCATGAAACAGGTTTTTTCCCCCCAGTTTCTTTGAGTACCATCTCCTAAAAGAGATAAAAGTTAATAGGAAGCAATTAGAAGAGTATCTTATTGCAAAGGGTGTCAATTACATACATACACTTCTTGTCAGTCCAAAATGTAATTTTTTTCTGTTCCAGTGTTCCTAGAATCCCATGGGCCTTTGCCATGACAGAAGTATGTGGCATGATTTTGTGCTATATTTGGCTCCTGGTTCTTCTTCTTCACAAACACAGGTACTTCAGTTATGCCATTAAAAGACAAAATATTTTGACTGTCTTGGATAAAGTTCATCAAACCTTGTTTCTCCCTTTGTAGTTTCCTTGTTAATTTCCTTTATTCGTTATGAAAAATGCCTCGGGTTTGATCAACAAGAAAGTCACTGTGAGGTAATACCTACATATTTAGTAGTATTCTGAATATATTCTGCAGGCAAAGATCAGAGATGGTGATGTTCAGTCATGAGCCAACCGCTGATAGTCTAGCTGTCACTTTCTTTGAAAACAAATCAGAAGTGTTTTTGTGGAAGAATAGAAACTCCTCCAAGGACAGTCTTTGGTCATGGACAATGTTTGAATGAAAGAAATTCTCTGCTTGGAGGAGGCCTATTAGAAAAGAGATTATTTTGCATACCATGTACATCTAGTCAGTGTGGTTTGCTTAAGATGATACAGGAAATTGCTGAATAGGGAAAGGGTTTCTTTGGCACTTTCACTAAGAAATATAAAGGAGAGAATTTTTTTATTAAAATGAAGTGTAAGGGGAAGCTTCTTTTCTACTTTAATGCAGGGAAATTACTTGATTTAAGTAAAAAGTAAGGCATAATGAAAAAATTTTACAAACTATGTAGCTTATAGATCTGGTTTCCATTGTCTGTGGACACTGATGAAGAACAGGGACACTTTTTTGAATTTTTTATCCTCCTTCTCACCAGGAAGGATTTGAGGTAAACCAGTGATGGGCTTTAGGTCCTAAGCAGCAGTTATTTCATTGCTTTGATGGTGGAAAGAAAGGTTGATCATTGCTATTGTCAAACTGGTAGGCTGTCATTTGCTTCGTTTCCCATTTTCCAGCAATATTTTTTAACTCTGGATTGCTTAAAAACAGAGGTGGTTTAAAAACGTGTAATATCACTGCTGCTTTGTGGTTTAACTTTGGCTCACAAGATCCTATGAATTTGAATTTTCCACTCTTCAAAACAAGAAAGAATTTACCATACAGGAAATTTTGGTAGGTTTAGCAAAGCACTTAATTGCAAGTTTTGGTGTTTAATTGGTCAAAGAAAGTGTTTCTCTCCAATGTTTGGCCTTTGTACTGCTTTCATTAGAATCACCTCGCTTTTGTTAAAATGTGGTTTCCTAGGTTCCATCCCAAGTGTACACACTAAAATTTGAGATCTCTTGTGTTCATTGCTTCCTTGAGGGTGAGAAGAGCATTTTGAAAACATGTAAATCATAGTCCCTGTGCTTAAGATTATTATAATCTGTTTTGGTTTGGACATTTAAAAAAATAATATGACAGCACAAGTGATATCACAATGCAGTTCAAAATTTTTGCTAGGTATACTTAATATAAAACTTAGTATTTAAAAACTTAGTATTTTTATACTTTAAGTTTTAAAAAGTTAGAGAATGTTTAAGATAGCTACTATCAGTAACCAATTTATAATTTTATTATTCAGCAAAAATTCCCTAAAATCCTGTTTAATTTTACCTCTCATAAAGTAAATAATTAATGAACAATATATGAATAACAGCATTAACTTTAAGGTAAGAGTCAGGGTAGGTACTAGTCCTTCTTTTCCTGGATAGTTCCTTTACTTTCTCTTAGCCATATCTTATCAATGAAACGATGCTCTTAGGTGAGCACTGTCTAACATGGCAGATACTAACCGCAGGTGGCTACTTAAATTAATGAAAATGAAATGAAGTCAAAATTTACCTCCTTGAATGTATTAGTCACATTTCAAGTGCTCAAGAGCCACATGTAGATAACCTTATTGGGCAGTGCAGTTATAGAACATTTCTGTCATTACAGAAAGTTCTGTTGGACAGTGATATTTCAGATCTAAGATTTCTTTAAGATTTCTGTCTTCTTCAAAGAATCTAGTTCTGGTAGTTTTCCTTCCTGCTCTCCCTTTAAGTAAACACTTGATTCCTGGAGATTTTTGGTTTGCTTTCTTCTGATCTTTCTCTCTTTTTGGTCACTCTGTTCACAGGTCAATACTTCTCCGAAGGCTCTGTAGTCTGATGGGCACGGTATTCTTGCTTCGCTGCTTTACCATGTTTGTGACCTCCCTCTCCGTGCCAGGACAGCACCTGCAGTGTACTGGAAAGGTAGCCTGCTACCTTCTTTATCATTCTTTCTTATTCTTGGTGGGTCTATGACACCATATTTGTAACAGGGCTGAAACTTTGCTTTTAGTGTTAAAATGCTTTTTAGGGGCGCATGCGTGGCTCATTTGGCTAAGTGTCCAACTCTTGATTTCAGCTCATGTTATGATCTCAGGGCTGTGAGTTTGAGCCTCCAGCATCAGCTTATGCTGGCCATGGAGCCTGCTTAAGATTGTCTCTCTTCCTCTCTCTCTGCCTGTCTCTCCTTTATAAAGAATAAATAAATAAATAAATAAATAAATAAATAGATAAAATGTTTAAAATGTCCTTTTTAGTATTTTTAATATCTGTAATAAACCTCTAGAAATAATTTGGTAGAAACCTTAAGCCAGAATCTACCTCCTTGTTACATATGTCCATTGATACTGGTTCTTTGCTGTGGAGCTATGGAAAACAAGTTTCAATTATCATTTTCCCTTTCCCACCATCCTGAGCATCTTTAGTTCCTCATATTGATGTGGAAATTTCAGGTTCAGAGCAAAGAAAGAATTCTTGAGACATCTTCGCTGCAAAAAGGTGGTTTTATTAAAACACAGGGACAGGACCCATGAGCAGAGAGATCTGCACTGGGGTTGTCACAGGTGACTGACTGATTATAACTTTCAAATTGAAAAGGGCTTAGGGACTAGCATTAAGTCTCTAGGGAATTGTGGAAACAAGGTTTCCAGGGCCTTGAGGGGGCTAGCTATTGTTAGGACAAGGTCATTTATTACTGACTAGTAAAACCTTAGTCATGACACCCTTCAGATGTATATCAGGGGTCCATTATCTTGGAGGATGGGTACTGCCATATCTTGGGGATAGAGATAAAGGAAGTTTCCAAAGGAATTTTTTTTTTTTTTAATTTATTTGACAGACAGAGATCACAAGTAGTCAGAGAGGCAGGCAGAGAGAGAGAGAGGAAGAAGCAGGCTTCCCGCTAAGCAGAGAGCCCGATGCAGGGCTCTATCCCAGGACCCTGGGATCATGACCTAAGCCGAAGGCAGAGGCTTTAACCCACTGAGCCACCCAGGCGCCCCTCCGAAGGAATTTTTATATGTTAAAGGAGACTTATAGGATCTTGGAGGTCAGGATAATGTTAAGCTAAAATTGCCTTTTGCCCTTAGCAAAGTATTAACATCGAGGCCCCTGAGTTCCTGGAGGAGAGTCATTCTGCATGGCTCAAGGACTTGTCAGTGGGCTGTAAGTTGTAAGGAAATTTAATTTTTATTTTTTAAAAACCTGAAAATCACCTGTACTTTACATACAGAATTGGCCTTCGTGACTCATTAAATTTGGACAAAAGAATTTATTATCCTATTTCTCTAAGCCTCCGTGCTTTAGTTATTTATTGCCAAATACTCAGATATCTGTGTAGGCACCTTTGTTGTTATTTTAATATTGTTTGTATATGTGTAAAACAAAATTATGTGTCAGCTCTTCTGTTACGATATAAATAGCTGAAAGCCAACAAGGAAGATTAAGTGGCCAGAGGATCACTAAAACTACAGCCCCGAGCGGAAGGGTGACAAAACTTTCTCTGGGTGTTAGGAGACTGACCAGTAAGCAAAGGAGAAGGGTTAATATGACACTTAGGTTTTATTGTGAAGACCGTGTTTTATTTTTCTGAAAATATATAAATTAAAAAGTAAAAACATCATTCCCTCTTCTTTCACCCATCCCATAAATAATCCTGTTAACAGTTGGGTATATAGCCACATAGACTTCTTTTTTTTTTTTTTAAAGATTTTATTTGAGGGATTTCTGAGTGGCTCAGTTGGTTAAGCATCTGCTTTTGGCTCAGGTCACGATCCCAGGCTCCTAGGTTTGAGTCCCACATCAGGAAGCCTGTGTCTCCCTCTGCTTGTGCTTTCTCTCACTCTCTCTCTGACAAATAAGTAAATAAAATCTTTAAAAAAATATATTTTATTTGAGAGAGAGAGCACAAGCAAGGAGGAGGGTCACGGGGAGAGGGAAAGGCAGACTCCCGGCTGAGCAGGGAACCCAGTGCAGGTCTGGATCCCAGGACCCTGACCAAGATCATGACGTGAGTCAAAGGCAGCCACCCAACTGACTGAGCCACCCAGGCACCCCCACATAGACTGTTTTTAAGCATACGCACACATTCATATAAGTTTATATAGTAGATACTTTTTAAATAAAAGATAAGATTATATTATAGATATTGTTCTTCGGTTTATATTTTATTTAATAGTATGTTGTTTACTTTTTTCCTAAAGAAATATATATGGCTATATTTCATCTTTTTTTTTTCTTAAGATTTTATTTATTTATTTGACAGAGATCACAAGTAGGCAGAGAGGCAAGCAGAGAGAGAGGCGGGGCGGGTGGGGAAGCAGGCTTGCCACTGAGCAGAGAGCCTGATGTGGGGCTCTATCCCAGGACCCTGGGATCATGACCGGAGCCGAAGGCAGAGGCTTTAACCCACTGAGCCTCCCAGGCACCCCTATATTTCATCTTTTTAATAGCTGCAGTGTCCATTGTATGATTTACCAGTTTCCAAATTATGTACATTTATGTTTTTTCCAAATCTTAATATTTATAAATCATGCTATCATAAATGTTCTTGTGCATTTATGCATTTTCTGTTATTTAATCACCTACTTAAGATAAATTCCTGGAAGTAGAATTATGAAATCAAAGAATATGTACATTAAATACATACTGCACAGATGTCCAGCAGAAAAAGCAAATTTATCACTACTACCAGTACTATATTCATGTCAGTTTTCCCACTCCTGTGCCAGCACTACTTAACTATCAATTATTGGAGTCATTGCCATTCTGATTCATGAAAGATGGTGATATGAGACTTTTACAGTTTTATGTTTTAAAGGTTAATATTTATTTCTTAGAGAGCATGAGCGGGGGAGGGGCTGAGGGAGAGGGAGAGAGAGCTAAAGAGAGAAAGAGAGAAGCAGACTACCTGCTGGGCAGGGAGCCCACCTCTGGGCTTGATCCCAGGACCCTGAGATCATGAGCTTAGGCGAAGGTCCACGCTTACGCCACTGAGCCACCCAGGTGCCCCTACAGTCTTAATGTTTTATATTTCTTATATAAATTTCTTATATATATAAATTTCTTATGTATAAATTTCTTAATATTTGAATTTATTTCTGCACATGATGTGAAGTAGAGATAGAGCAGTTTTCCTCGGGTAGTATGGTAATTGATTAGAAGATATTTTAAAGAATAAAAATATAAGCTTATTATACTGAAAAGAGAATTTTCTGTAGCAGAGGGATTTAATTGTGGGTTAACCACTAAAGAGAATGTTATATGTGCATTGGGCTATAATGTGTGCTACAAAAATAAATTAGATACCATTCCTCTACAGTATGGATAGCCCTCTTTCTGTCTCTGATGACTGTGTTTCATTATCAGTTAGTTATATATGGATATTTCTATTCAAATCTGCCCTAAATACTGTTAATTTTTTTTACATTATAATATAACCTACTTATTGACCTGTATCATTTGTAGCAGTTGTTAAAAATAGAAAGTTAAGGTGATAGTAACTAACAATCAAGTCCCTTACAGTAAACTCCATCGGGTATTTTGATTGAAATAAAGTAATTGCTTGAAATCTCATTCCCAGAAGTGGGAGGTTTAGGGACAAAACCAAGAACCTACCTGTTTTTGAAATGTAACAATGGACCCACTTTTCTTAAGGAAAGAAAATACGGAATATTTAGGACATTTAAAATTGGAAGGGATAAGGAGACTGGGTATCTGAGCAATGATTGTTTTCCTTTGACTGGCATCACTTGCTTCCTGCCCTTGTCTGAGAGATATTTTCCTAGCAGTCTCTGTTCTTCACTGATTTTTTATTTTCACAAGAGTACCATATCCAGCCCTGTTCTCATTAGAGCTCTTAGAAGAACCAAACTATGTGTATTTTAGTAACCTCTCTTCTCTTTTCTCTAATAATAAATCCCTTTTCCTGTCCTGCCCTTCACTAAGGCAGAAAGGGAAAGCTAGGTAGTACATAATCAGCAAGTGAGATTTCTAATGAAATTGTGTTATGAGGTTGTTTCTGTTATTAATTAGCCATAGTAGAATCTTCAAAACGTAGGCCTTTAGGGGCGCCTGGGTGGCTCAGTGGGTTAAAGCCTCTGCCTTTGGCTCGGGTCATGATCCCGGGGTCCTGGGTCCTGGGATCGAACCCCACATCAGGCTTTCTGCTCAGCAGGGAGCCTGCTTCCTCCTTTCTCTCTCTCTGCCTGCTTGTGATCTGTGTAAATAAAATCTTAAAAATAAATAAATAAATAAGATAACACATAGACCTTTTTGTTTGTTTGTTTGATTGTTTGTTTTGTAAGGTTATTTTCTTTAAAGCTCTAATTGACTTTATTGAATGATTCATGAATTGGGTAGCACCCCAACTAGGAAGTAGAGAGGCCCTCTAAGACATAGGACTTCAGAATTGGACTTCCTGGATTCACATCTTGGTTATGTTACTTACCAGCTGTGTGACCTCTCTAAACCAGTTTCCTCAGCTGCATAATTGAATCACTTCATAGGATTGTTGTGGAAATTAAATACAGTAATACATAAAGCACTTAGCAGCATGTCTTTCACATAGTAAATGCATGTAAAATTTTAGGAATTGTTTGTACGGTTACTGTGTGTTAAATGTTTGCTTTTTTTTTTTTTTTTTTTTTTTTTTGAAGGACCATTACTCAAACTCTTCCTCCAAATGGATGGCTTTTTTTAAGCTTATATATGGGAGTTGGCATTGGGTTTGGCTGTTAATAGGAAATTCAAGATGGCATGGTTTAATAAATAGTGGTTTATTCTGCCTCATAAGAGAAATCTGAAATTAGGTCATGTGTACCCATATGGACTTACCAAAAACCCATTATTCTTCTGTCTTTATCCTCTCCTATCCTAACATTTCTGTATGGAGTTCTCAAAAACCCATGATTCTTCTTTGTACTTTCCTGTCCTCACACTTAGCTTGCATCCTCAAGGCCACTTAGTAGTCCAAGATGGCTGCTAGAGCTTCAACTATCATGTCTGAGTTGTAGGCTCAAAGAAGGAAAGGTTTTGAAAAAGACTTCCTCCTAGTTGTTGTCTCTTTCCTTTTTAAGTAGCCTTCCCACAACTCTTTTACACTTTTATTTACATCTTATTGTATAGAGCTTAGTCACAAAACCACACCTGCAAGGGAGGCTAGGAAATGCAGTGTTTTGGTTGAGTTCATCGCTATGCAAATAAAGTAGACATTCTGTTACCAGTGAAGAAGGAAGGAATAGATACTGTCATAGCCTCTTTCTTACTGGCAAGAACAACCAGCAAATACTACCGCATTATTGGATGAAAAACTTGAAAATATTTTGTGTAATAGTGACCTTTTCATTGTAAAGGAACTCTTAGAGAAATTTGAATTACATAGATTTCGTGTAATTACCAGAATATTTCTGACCACACTTTCTTGATGTCTGGAATGAATTAATTAGACTGGGAGTCTGGTTGCATTTGTTCAGATCTTATTCCTAAGTCATTCAGCATTTGAATTTCAATGTGAGGGATGTTTGGAAGCCCCTACCTCTCTAGGCATTAGAAGCACTAATTTGTAGCTTTTTTTATAGATATATGGCAGTGTATGGGAGAAACTACACCGGGCCTTTGCCATTTGGAGTGGCTTTGGTATGACCCTAACTGGTGTTCACACCTGTGGAGATTACATGTTCAGTGGCCACACAGTCGTCCTAACTATGCTGAATTTCTTTGTCACTGAATGTAAGTATCTCTTTAGTGCTTCCATGCATTAGATGACTGGCTCCAGAGTAGGCTGTGGGAAGGGTGTCAAGTTCTATGAAGAATGAAAGTAGCAGACTGACTTAAGAAACATGTGACTTAGAAGCATTGGAAAGAATGTGGTTTTAAAATGACCTTTCTGTCCTTTTCCCAGATACACCAAGAAGCTGGAATTTCTTACATACTTTATCCTGGGTTCTCAACCTCTTTGGAATCTTCTTCATTTTGGCTGCTCATGAACATTATTCCATTGATGTGTTTATTGCCTTTTATATCACGACAAGACTCTTTTTGTACTATCATACTCTAGCCAATACCAGAGCATATCAGCAGAGTAGGAGAGCAAGAATTTGGTTTCCTATGTTTTCTTTTTTTGAATGCAATGTGAATGGTACAGTACCTAATGAATATTGTTGGCCATTTTCAAAACCAGCAATAATGAAAAGATTGATTGGCTAAAGTCTATCTTTGTAATGGGTTCATGGTTAAATATGCAGTAGTTGTTGAAAGTGAATAACGTTTGCTTTCTCCCCCTAAGCTGTTCCCAGATGCCTTGCATTTTGGCTTATATGTTGACAAAGTGAAGTCCCATGTTCTGAGCAAGGCTATGATTGTAGAAATCAAGAAAGAGCAATCAAGAGTCCTTACATATCCGTGTGAGTAGGAAGCTTAAGTAGATGTTTCTGACCCTTCTCTTTCGGCAGACTTAATGTTGTAATTGAAGTCAGGCTGTTACCCTCACCTGTTGAGAACTTGCTTATTGAATTTAAGTAATTTGGTGATTGAATGTGTTTTTTTAAATTTTCTAACTTCATTAGGACTCTAGTCAAGAAATAATTTTTTTTAGGTCCTTATTATCTTCAAAGGAAAAACCCCTACCAAATGAGCAGTACTTGTTCTTTGAACTAATCTCTGTCTTTTTAAAAAATGCAACTCTAGAAAGTGATCTGTGTCACTAACAAATAATTTCTGCCTTCTGAACCATCTTTAAGAAAAGCATACTGAACATACCGGGATGCCTGAAACAAGACGAGAATGGAAGGGGCCATACATGAGGTGACAAAAGTACAAATAGAGTACTGGCATTTTTCACCAAAGATGCAACAAAAGATGCAGTTCCTCTTTTTTTCTGAGGGTTCAGTATGACTGTCATTAAGTGTTTATGAGGGAAAAATGGCTGCATCCATAAAAATAAAATCGGCTTAATTTTAGTGAGATAGGTACCTGGAACAACTTTGTGCTATAGTTGTTATTTAGACATATGAGAGCCCAATTTTATGCCTTTAAATGATGTTACTTAATGAGCAAAATAGTGGAGTGTGTTACCAAATGTTAGATAAAGTTCTTATGTCCATAAGTAGGGAGGTATGCATGCAAAGAATATTTTTTCTGTTTTTGAGAAGAAATTTATAATGGTTGCAGGCATAATACAACTTTTTGGTTTTTGAAGTTTGTCATTCTTGGCCATCAGAAGTAAACAGTCTCAGATATATTCGGATGTGGAAAAAAGGTTTTGTTGTTTTTCTTTTTTAAGTACAATTGTGTACATACATTCTTTCTACTTAGTCTTAATTTGGCCGTCAGGAAGTGATATAGTTAGTTGCCGTTTACAACACTAGAAATTTAGTACCTTAAGTAATTTGACCTTTGCGGTAACATTTGTCACTTTACTTTTAATGATTCTGGTTAGTAGTTATGACAGTAGAATGGTTATGGAATTGGCTTTTGAGCCCCAACTGATTGAGCTTAGCTACTTGGAATATTAATTGCGTAATTTTTACATTCCATTTTAAAGCAAGGAGTTAGAAAAAGTGCTGGCATATTGAGGTCTAAAATTAAGCCACTTAGCAGAGACCCACTCCTACTAATGTGGGTGAAATATTTTATTTTTGCACTTTAAGTCATATTCCCACCCCTGTATAAGCTACAGAGGAGCCTGAATGGATTGGGCAGGAGAAGAATATTATGCAAACAAATTCCAGCCAGTGCTGAATGACCTCAATTTGAGTCTGCTCTGAATATTTTTTTTTTTTTTACCTGAGAAATGGCACAAGGCAATTCAAGTTTTATTATGCTTGTAAATCTCAAACTTCAGAATCTTATAATATCTTAAATTATTGATTCTAATACATGCCTGGGACAAAAATGTCAAGATTTCATCTAAGGAAACTGCATGATCATGAAGGGTGAGGGATGTTTCCTATACTACTTAAAGTACTTTGACCCTTGAGGTCAAAGCCGTGTAACTGCCATTCTTTCCAAGTGACAGAGCAAGACCATATTTAGCTAGGGAGGTTTGAGTATTGGCTTTTGGAAAAATGTTCGAAAAAAATCTGTGGCAACATTAAGTCAGGAATGTTAGATAGCTGCTTAATGGTAAACTTCCTAACATCAGTCTTCTTTCCTTCATATGGATTCTATTCTAGAACAAAATAGAAAAAAAATTGCAAGTAACTTTTCAGAGCTGTTGACATCGAGAGTGCCTAACAGCAGACTGCAATGAGGATTGTAAAATAAGTTTTCAGCCTCGCATTTATCATATCTGATTTGAGGAAAAGGTAAGCTAGATTTATAATTTATTGTTATAACTAATACAAGGCAGTGTTTACATAAATTCATCATCTCCAAGTCTCTTGGAAAGTGTTGATACAAAATTCTTTTCCATTTCTTTTTTTGATATGAAACCTGTATTTTAGTTGTTTTTTTTTGTTTTGTTTTGTTTTGTCCAGAAATTTCCAGATTTTGTCTTTATATTTTTTTTTCTTGTTAAAATGTAAACCATTGGAAGGGTGGTATTTATATTCACATTTTGGGGGTGAATGGGCCTAGGTGGAGAAGCTACATACGTATTTTTTTATCCTTTCTACAGTTGAAGACTTAGGAGAGGCTTATATTCTTAAATACTGAGACCTTAGTATAGAAGGAACCAAGAAGGTTTTTGGTTTGGGGATACAAACTGGAAGTTACATTGAAAGTCCTTGATGACTTTCTCTATAATTCTGGTGGCAGTGTAGCCTTTTTTTTTTCTTTGCTTTTTCTTTCCTTTTTTTTTTTTTTTTTAATGTCTATGCAGGGCATTGTTACTGAAGGGTATTGAAGTTCATAGGGAGTAAGGAGGTTTTGAAGACAGCAAGTAAGCTATTATCACTGAATAATTTGGGAGAAACTTTTTGGCTATGCTGCAGAATTTTCAAATGGCTATCCTCTCCATCGTTCTCAGTGGCCAGAATTGCTAGAGTAAAAATACAACTTCCACATGCTGGGTCTGTTTTTCAGTTGTTACTGTTTTTTTTAATCAGAAAGCAGTGAGAGTAGCCTTAGAACCAGTCAGCTAAAGAAATGTGGGCTGTTCACGAGAAAGAATCCATTGACTGAAGACCTACTGGTTTTATAACTCTGACACCGCAAGTGGTGTTCTTTCTTGCCCTGTACTTGCTGAAGTATTGTTATTTAGAATTCCAAAAATCTTATAATTTACAAACAGAGAACAGAGAAGCCAAACCCTTTTATAGTTCCTATGAAACAGTCTGTTTTAGAGACATCTGTTTGGAAAGTGTTATTTATATATTCAAAGTCATATTCGTAACACTAACTTGCTTGGAGTGTATTCCGCAAAAGGCATTTTCATCATGAGTTTTATAGTAAACATTTTTTAAACATTCTTGGTCCAAAATGCTTGAGAACGTTAACCATATTCTTGTTTTAAACTCTGTGATCTAATAAATTTAATTCTTTGATAGTCTTTTTGTAGACTTAAGTTATCCCTTACTAAGAGTAACTAGCAGTAATAGTCATGTGTCAGTTCTTTAAGGTATTCAGGCATTTGAGACAAGAAAGTTCTCTTTTAGAATAGTCCAATAGCTTTCTTAAACAGTGTTGGTTTCTTTTAGATAGTTTCAAAGCCAACAAAGCATGTCAGTTTCAATACCGTCTTCACTTGGCAGTTAAGATGGTTTGCATTTGTAGAAAGTGCAGCCTGAATTAGCCCTACACCTCTGTAGAGACTTGTTAGTAACATCAGAAGTCGGGCGGCTTCAGGTGATCAGTGAGAAAGGAAAGAGGTTGAGGGTTTTTCCCTCTTTGTGTTTGAGTGACTCTGAATGACTGAAATTACTGTGAAAGTAGGTTTTGGTCTCCCCTCTCACCTACTGCTCACACCCAGTGAATGCCACCAATTTCAGGTAACTAAAATGTGGCCTATTACTTTACATCAAGTTCAATAAAAGTATCTATGAAATCTGTAAACCATAATTCAGCGACCAGTAAGGTTGGTTTTAGAATATGTTCTACTCTAAATTAGCCAAGAGACTTTTTATTCAGTGTATTCCATATTTAAGCATAAGGAAGATTTGTGCCTGATAGGAAGGGAGAGGGAATACTATGATAATCTCATTATTTCAGGTCTGTTTCAATATGAACTACTGAGTTGTCTGAATGGTAGCCAGGCCATGTTATTAATGTCATCTTAAAAATGCTTAATTTTAATAATTTTTTATTCAGAGAATCTATGGATTATTAGGACAATTGAAGTATTTCTGATATGGAACAAAGGAAGTGGAAACTGGTACTTAGTCGGGGAAGCAAAATTAGCTTGGACTAAAGTGGGCATGTTTTGTTTTAAGAACTCTACCTAAATGTAACTCTGTCCACAGAGAAACTAGTATTACTTGAAGATGTGAATGTTCCTGTGGTAGCCATACCTTGAAGCACAGTGTTGTATATAAGTAAATATCTTGATTCTAAATTAAATCCAGATTTAACTAATAAATTATTTTATATCTTTGTTGTATTAAAATGTTTAAAAACACTAAAAATAAAACATTTGAAAGTTGAATTGCAGTCTCTTATTTGAATGTCTTTGCATTACTAATGCAGCTTGTCTATTTTTTTTACAGTAAATTTTTATTTTTGCAAATGATTGGGCCCAGCAACTTTAAATTTTAATATAGTATCTAGTTCCTGGCTCTTACTAATGCTTAGTTGTCTCTTAAATAAGCCATTTGCCCTTTCTCCTTTCTTTTGTGTAAACTAGGAAAGAAAAGTAATCTTCCTGGGGTGTTAGAATAATTGTGGATTAAGATGAGAAGGAGGGAAAAGATGCAAAAAACACATTAAAGTTTTTGTTTGGTTGGTTGGTTTTTATTTAATTGTGGATTATATGGGAAGATGCCATAATCCTGGCAGGTCAGCTTTGGAAAAAATGATGAACAGGGAAAGAAGGGAAAACAGCTGTTAGGGGGTAGCTCAGTAGCCCAAAACCATGGAGTAATTGAAACACTAAGCATTGTCATAGGACCATGTGAATTTAACCTGTGACTGAACTTAACTCGCATGACCACTACTAATCTGTTGGTGGCCCCAGCTAGTCTCTGTCTCGGGGACTCTGGGAAAGAATAGTCTAGAACAGACCTAGAGGCTACATGGTAGAATAGAAAATGCACTGGGTTTAGACTCTGAAGGCCTGGGTGTTGCATCTCTGCCACTGATTAAATTAGGTCTTTTCTTCCAGCTCTACCTAACTTTATGTTTAAAAAGGGGTACAAAAAAATGTCTTTCTCATAGATTGTATTAAAGGCCAGATACGAAAGTACTCTACCCTTGATGTCTTAGTAGCTGGTACATAATGCTGAGATACTAGTTGAATTTAGGTCAATAAAATGGCCTATGCCCCCAGGAAATTAATAATCTATCAGGGAAGTTGACATGAAACATTCATTGGGGGAATCAACCCACAGTTTTAAAAAAAACTGCCTGGTTGAATATCTTCAGGGATGGGGAAAGGGAAGTGGGGAATTTGTACCATTTTCATACAGAGTTACTGTTTTACATATTTGATTTTCCTTGTAGGCTTTCCCTTTGAAAAAAAGAGTTGAGGGGCGCCTGGGTGGCTCAGTGGATTAAGCCGCTGCCTTCGGCTCAGGTCATGATCTCGGAGTCCTGGGATCAAGCCCCGCATCGGGCTCTCTGCTCAGCAGGGATCCTGCTTCCTCCTCTCTCTCTCTGCCTGCCTCTCTGCCTGCTTGTGATCTCTCTGTCAAATAAATAAATAAAATCTTTAAAAAAAAAAAAAAGAGTTGAGGATAGGAGAAGGAAATGTTTGGAAATAGCTGAGTCAATAGAAATTTTACTGTCTTCATTTAATGGTAGCTTGGGAGAGGAAGGGCTCAGTGGGGACTGAGGGTCCATGCAGAATTTACTAAGCATGTAAGACTTAAACTGAGCCTTCCCTGAAGAAAAAATTCATAAGAACATGATGAAAGCTTTAGAAGACTAATGTAAAAAATTGGATTTGTGTATGTGTTAAGGAACTGTTGTCAGGGTATGTGTTTGTTTGTTTGTTTGTTTTTTAAGATTTGTTTGAGAGAAGGGGGGAGAGTAGGAGTTGGGGCAAGAGCAGAGGGAAAGAGAGAGATTCTTAAGCAGACTCCTGCTGAGCGAAGAGTCCAACAGGGGGCTTGATCTCACAACCCTGAGATCATGAGCTCAGCCGAAATCAAGAGTCAGATTCTTAGCTGACTGGGCCACCCAGGCATGCTCACAGGGTATATGTTTTTTTTGTTGTTGTTTTTAAGATTTTATTTATTTATTTGAAAGACAGAGATCACAAGCAGAGAAGCAGGCAGAGAGAGAGGAGGAAGCAGGCTCCCCACTGAGCAGAGAACCTGATGCGGGGCTCGATCCCAAGACCCTGGGATCATGACCCAAGGCGAAGGCAGAGGCTTTAACCCACTGAGCCACCCAGGCACCTCTGACAGGGTATATGTTTTTAACACAACCATTGGGATACCTGTTGCCAGGGTCTAAATTGTTGGGACACGTATAAGTAGTTTTATAAAACAGGATTAGTAAAGGGCACAAGTGTAAGTCAAAAAGAGAGAGGTAGGATGATGGAAAGTACACAAAAGATCAAATGGGAGATGAAGGAAAGGCTACAGGCCAAGTTAGTAGGTCACGGAACCCAGGCCTGGGCACAGCTTGTAGGAAGCCTCTACACCTAACCAAGGAAGATCAAGACATCCCAAAATGACCTGCCAAGTGCTGCTGGATTATGTAATGTGACTGTAGGATATGATATACCCTTTATCCAAAATTGTCTGTTTTATGGTCAAACAGCTCACTTACCTGTCCAAGTGCTGGGCTGCCAGGCATAATGTGGAGTGGGAACAGCTCTGGCAGAGACTTGAGAAGAGTGCTGGGGCAAGAGAATGCCTCAGAGGAGCTCAGTTACCACCATCAGCAGTAACTTGGAAGAAGACCACTTGATAGCTGTAAGGCCTCTGCTAGAGCAGCATGGATATTTAAATGCTGTATGTTCTCAGCTTAAAGGGCCCTCTAGGAGAGCTACAAGTATGAAACCACCATGAACCGTTCACATTCCAGCCTTAAGGGCCTTGGATCCCACTCTAAAGAAAACACATGTACGTAATGGTTTATCTTTTTCTTTTCTTTGTTTTAAGATTTTATTTATTTATTTGAGAGAGAGAATGTACAAGCGCGGGGAGTAGCAGGCAGAGGGAGAGGGAGAAGCAGGCTCCCTGCCAAGCAGGGACCCCATTGTGGGGCTCGATCCCAGGACCCCAGGATCATGACCTGAGCCAAAGGCAGATGCCCAACCAAGTGAGCAACCCAGATGCCCCCTAATGGTTTTTCAATACAGACTAATCAGTCTTCATCAACAAGTTGTCAGTGTATCTGAAATTTGATCCTGTTTTTCCTCAAAGACTGTTTTGGAGGCCTAGCTGGAGAGCAGTTGGCAGTAGTGGGTGATGTGATTTGAGGGACTCCAACATGGTGGAAACCATCTGAGCCACCTAGGTACCCATGATTCTTAGTATCTTTTTTAAAAAGTTATTAATTGTGAGTAATTAATGAACATGGTAGCAAACTATATAAACTGAAAACTTTTCTTTCCACTCCTGTGCCCCAGTCTTTAGTTCTTTTTCTAAGAGACTATCATTTTTTTTTTTAAATATTTTATTTATTTATTTGTCAGAGAGAGAGAGGGAGAGAGAGTGAGCACAGGCAGACAGAATGGCAGGCAGAGGCAGAGGGAGAAGCAGGCTCCCTGACGAGCAAGGAGCCCGATGTGGGACTCGATCCCAGCACGCCGGGATCATGACCTGAGCCGAAGGCAGCTGCCTAACCAACTGAGCCACCCAGGCGTCCCGAGACTATCATTTTAAAATAGTATGTTTTCCCAGAGGCATTCCATGCATATTCAAAGAAACACATATTTTTTCTATTTATGTTTATATTATTTAAACAAATTGTAGCATATATAGATATGGTTTTGCACCTTATTTATTTCACTTAACATATACCAATGCCTTCCCCTCCAAGAACACACATTAGTTAAAGAAGTTAGATTTATTGTTCATTGCAGTGAGGGAGAATGCACACTATGGTAAATTACAGAGCATCTCAGCTGGAGGGTGTTGGGAAAGGACTTACAGGATTGCATTTAGATGAGGTGGGTGGGAGGAAAGTTTTAAGGAAGCGGGGATTTGTTCTGGATTGGATATTTTCAGGATGCTGGACCAATTTTATAATTGGGTGCCTTAATAAATGTTAAGCAGAAGGAATAGATCGAGGCTTAATGTAAGGAAACAAAAATCACTCGGGATAGAAGGACGTTTAGTGGGTTTTGTGGTTTAGTAATGTTCATGTTTTTAATCTGTGTTCAAACATGATTATTGATAGCCTTGTTTTTATCTTGGTCTATCATGGTCACAGGTCTCCTTGTCATATGTTGGTGTTCTATGAATATCTTTATGTTCAACAAGAAAACAGTAGTCTTAGCTGTATATGCCAGGCCAGCTTCCCCTTTTCTCTTTCCCACCTGATATATTAATGTTCTTTCCATATAAGTACATAAAGAATGCAATTTGCTTCATTCTTGTTAATGACAACGTGATATTCCCTTGCATAGATGTCATTCATAATTTATTACTCATTCCCTGAAAGATGGGCTTTCAGATTGCTTACTGTTCAAACAATGCTGTAATAAATATTACTTTGCATGTGTACAAGTTCATCTGTAGAATAAATTGTTAAAAGTGAAGTTGTTGGGTCCAAGCATTTGTACATTTTGGATTTTGTTAGATATTATCAGATTGACCCTAATAGAAGTTGTACCAATTTATTCTTCCACTAGCAGTGTATGAGTTTGCCAGTAAATCCACACCATTGCCAAAATAATGTATTACTGAACTTTATCGTGTTTGCCAATCTGATAGGTTTAAAAATATCTTAATGCCCTTTCTACATAAGTAAGCTGCAGAAGTATTTTTAAATAGTAATATAGTAAGGGAATTTGACAGCTTTACTGGGATCCACATCTTTCTGGAGGACTAACTGCACTGCAGACTGTCATATATTTTGTTAAAAGCCCATATGATTATAAAATATTGAATGGGAAAAGAAAGATGATTTAACAGATTGAGAAGGGTCTCTCCCATTTACTTATAGTGTTGTCTTTACCATCTCTTGCCACTGCTGAGTCAGGGGCAGGGGTGAGGATGTTGATCATTGTCTTCCCAAGCACCCAAAGGAAGCTAAGTCCTGTTCAGTCTAAGGGAGAGTCTGGAGGACTCAGTTGCTTTCCATTTCAAGTTTTGTAAAGGGTAGATGTTAATACCTGACTGCCCACCAGCAGCTACAATTTGCTCTGCCATGGCCTATGAGACCTTCCAAGGATCTGAATTTAACCTGTCCCAGATACAGGGCTCCATTTTAGATATGTAGGACCTGAAGTATGGAAGATATTTTGAAAGAATATTTATCAAGCATTTATTGAGCACCTATCATATGCCGGGCACTATTTTTTTTTTAATT